GGCCTCTTCTATTTTATATTAAAATAATGATGTAATTATATTTTAATTGAAAAATATATTAAAAAGTATGAGGTTTTAATGTAACCACTATGTTAATAAAACATAAAACTTTAAGGATAGTATATGTAAGCACCTGCTATGTTATATGTAAGTAATATGTTTCTTAGATACCTAATTTGCATATTTACTCACTGCTTTTAATTTATTTTCTCTCTATTACTGTGTCAAGTGAAGCAATTTCATGTTGTGTTTTATGATAATTTTACAGGTTTTATGTTCTTAATGACCTAAGTCTTAGCCTTTTGAATTTACTTGGTTATCTATAAAAGTTAATATTTTGTGTCACTTTATGTTATGTATATTTCATATTTACTTATTTTCTGGAGTCTACAAAAGCCAAGGAAATATGGAAGTTTCCATACATAGATCTATTATTTACAAGATGTGGCACACTTTCTTCATGAGTTTTCTTACAAAAAGGGGCTCTGCAATTTTATGTAACATAGGCTTCTTTCTTGCAAACGATTTTCATATAATTTTGTTTTCAATATTCTTTTCAAAAAATTCTTTTAAAATATCCACAGAAAAGCATGTGTTTCACTTTATGAGTCACTTAGAAATAGAAATGCTGATTCCCTCTTCATCATTTCTTCAGTTTATGGTGACCTTTAGTGTAGTAGATAGCCTACAGCAGTATTGGTATGTTAAGCGAGGCTATTTCCAAGTCATTAATTGTTTGTAGTACATGTCTATCTCAAGGTGAACAAACTTGTTCTAAAAACTATTCAGGATACATGAAGACACTATACTCATTTTTCATGCTGACTTATAATATGTGGAATTATGCTTATGAGTAATGCAGTTGCATCCCACTTTATCTGCCTTCTGGTCTACTGAATCTTACAGTGAGATCTGAATCTTTGCATGCATGTATTTTGAATTCTGCATTAACGTAAAAAGAGAAATATTTTACTACATATGTAGTCAACATCTCTTATAATCAACCACAAATTCACACAGAATTCAAAATGCATCTAAGTTACAGGATGATTTAAAACATTCAAGCCACCAGGTTTCTCAAATTCCCGTCTGTCAAAATTCTATTGCATTTCATGTCTATTTGCCTCTGAAAAACAGAATATTCCCTTATCAGCTAAACATAGTTTAAAATGACTTGTTAGATTTCCTTTGGAGTGAGAAGAAAAATATTTCATCAGCCGAGAATATCCTGGCAGGTAGAAATATTGTTTCTTTGGTAAAAGCTTATGGAACATTGCAACTATCCTACTGTGCACATCAATATTTAATTTTTCTCATATGTTTTGTTATGAATAAGTGTTCAAGAGGCATAATACATCAAGATACACTATATTAAAAAAACAACTCAGCAAATTTATTAGCAACACTTTGAGTTTTTCTTTCATTTCCACCTGTATTGATTTCAGTTATTATTTGGTGGTTTGTCTTTATATCAATTACAAATATAGCTAATTAATGACATCCATTTTCATTCACGTATTCTTAAACAGGAGCAGAGTATATTACACAATCCTTCATCTATCAGAGATATTGTGTTTCTCATAATTTATAATATTATAGTGATATCATGTATTTGTCATAAATACCACTAATATAGTTGTAACAATATTCTTTATTTGAAATGTTTAATGTTTTGATTTTATAGAAAATCAATTTTTACAGATAGTATTGTATTTAAAGACTATAAAACAAACACAAGCATTCATAGGCTTACAAAGGCACAAACAAGTACGGTTTTATTATAGATACTGTTTCTGCCAAACTACTGTAACTGAACAGATGTATAGCAATTATTCTCAGGCCTCCTGTCTTAACAGCTGATTGTCCAAACTAAAGACTGTTTTAAGATGACTGGATCTTTGTAAACTAGACGGTCTCAATTTTGTTACCAATATTTGATTTGCTGGACATTAGTAGTAAATATCCTTTGTATTTTCTAGACTTTAGATTTTATTTTTATTCATTCATTTATTTGTTTGTTTATTTATTTTGGTTTTTTGATACAGGATCTGTAGCTCTGGTTGTCCTGGAACTTGCTCTGTTGACCAGGATGTGAACTCACAGAGATCCATCTACCTCTGCCTCCCAAGTGCTGTGATTAAAGGAATATGCCACCACTGCCTGGTGACTTTAGATTTTAAAAGAGACCTCTTAACATATAAAATCAATAATAGAATTATGTTCATTTCACTTTTATTTTCTAAAGCTGCCCTTGTGTGTATGTGTGTGTGTGTTTGTGTACACATTTAGTTGTGCATTTGTGTGTGTGTGTTTGTGTGTGTGTGTTTGTGTATATATACGTGTATGTTTTGTGGAAGTGAAAAGCATGTGTGTTGGCACCAGAATTCCCCTCTCTAGAAAAGCAATTCATCATTGAAACACCTCTGTAGCCCAGGGTTATTTCATTTCTAAAACATGTTTATTCATGAATAAAGCAAAAATGAATATTTTATGAAAAGATAAAAGAGAATAAATTTTCTGCTTTTTTTACTTTCTTTTAAATTAAAAAATACAATTTACTTATTTTCTTCTACATTAGTTTTAAAGTTATACTACTTGTTTTAATATTTTGGTTATATGAAACTATATATTGTACGGCCTTGATTTATTGCATTCTAAAATAAAGGATTTTTGTTACTTTAGGAGACTTATAAAAATTTTATTATATTTCAATTGTTTGAAACTCTTTCTTCCCTTGTGCAATGTACAGATAAAATATAATTTTATTGCTTCAAATACTTCATTATTGTTCTTCATTTGGGCACATATTTAATCATTCTGAAAATTTTATACTACTTTATAATTCTAGACTCTTTGAATATAATTTGAGATAATGAAAGTCATTATTTAGTATTTCATATAATAGAAGGTATTAACAATAAATTTTCAATATATCATGACAGAAAGATTACATATTTTGACTTACAAGCTGTTCTTTTTGGTCATAGATTTCTCTCTTGTGCCATATTTTGAAGGCATCTATCTCTTTTCTCTGTGGATTTCCAAGAATTATCATTAATTTAACTTTGCCTTTTATGAGTTTTTCCATGTGTCAAGAAATTATTACCTACCTCTCTTGCTGTGGGATGGTCTGTATGTTAAATTGCTCTGATTGGTCAAGTAAAACACTGATTGGCCAGTGGCCAGGCAGGAAGTATAGGCAGGACTAACAGAGAGGAGAATTGAGGGAACAGGAAGGCGGAGGGAGGCACTGCCAGCAGCCACCATGACAAACAGCACGTGAAGACACCGATAAGCCATGAGCCACGTGGCAAGGTATAAATTTATAGAAATGGATTAATTTAAGATGCAAGACTAGATAGCTAGAAGCCTGAGCCATTAGGCCAAACAGTTTAAATAATATAAGCGTCTGAGTGTTTATTTTATAAGTGGGCTGTCGGAGTGCCGGGGCTTCGTGGGACCTGGAGAGAAGCTCTACAGCTACACTCTCTCATCAAATTTAATGAATTTTTTTGTTGTTTTGTTTTTCTTATCTTGTTTGAAATGTTTTTTTTTCATCAATTTTTGGAAATTTTGTATTCATTACATTTCTATTTGTTTCTTTCTCATTCTTTACTCACTTGAGAATAAAATTTGAGTGCATGATAAACTTTGTAAAAGTAATTATATTAAGTTTATTCTTTGCTGTTTCATGAAGATACAAAAGTACCTTTTTGAGGCACTTTTTGATATTTTGATACATGTGTACATTATGTAATGCTCAATAACTTTTAACATTTTCAATTTCTGCCATTTTTCTCAAAATCAGAACACTCAAAACCCTAGACACTCTAATATATGTTACCATTTATTGTTTCACTTCCAGTTTGCACAACAGCCTTCCTTCCTGGTACTAAAGTGTAACTCAGGACCACCCCCCACTTAGGCTGTCCCCACTCCAACCATACATTTTCTCTTTCCAGCCTCAGTCAAGGCCATATTTCAACCTCTCAACTTCTATTAGCACAAAAGCTTATGATTCTTCATATCAAATAATACTTGTATTCCTGACTTTTTCCTATATGAGATTAGAGACAATTATAGTAAGTGAAAAAGACTGAAAGACACCATTTCTGTCTCTGTAGTGACTGGGTTGTGTTTTGCTATCTAGTGAGTTTTTATCTATGTGTTTTATAGCTTCAATGCTATGTTTGAGATGGTTGCTATGGCTTAAAAGCATTGAAATAATTATTATGGAATGAATGCATTTCTCTAACCTTCTAACATGCCAATGCATGCTTTCCTAGATAACACTGCCTTCCACTCAAACTCAGGAATTAATGATGTGATTATGTATTGCTTGTTTTTATAGAAAATTAATAGGGGCATGGACACATTATTTGTTTCTATTTAACAATTATTCTAAGTTTAACTTCATTTTGATAACAAAATTGATTGCTTGGTCAAGATAGAAGTATATGTTAAAGTATTCATGATAGTCACAGACAGATACAAAATGATTCTGTGAATGTCAACACTATGTATAAAACCAAAATTATTCATGATGAATAGCTGATTATCTTTCAAAACAATAAAAATGACAATCTTTGTGGCTGACAAAGTGAACTATAAGATGCAGAAAGAGAGACATTTCATTCAAAAATATAGGTATATTGGCTAAGAAATTGTGGCAAGAAAAGAGAAGTAAATCATGCATTTTTGCCCAAATCAATGATTGAATGAAACAAAAGTGGGGTGTACATGTGTGCATGCATGTCTGCTCATTCAGGTGTGTGCCCGTGTAAGCCTTTGTGGGCTACCAATGGCAGGTTTCATAAAAACAGACACTTTCTGGAATGAAGCTTAGATAACTCTGTATGTGATAAAATATCACAATTTAATCAAATAAATAATATACTTGAAAAATGTGTTTGTATCTTATACTAAGGAAATTCATTATATTTCACTTTTACAAACACACACACAACAGATAAGAAAACAATATAGCACCATGAAGATCTCTGAGGGTTTTCTGTGTTGCATAACTTTTATTTAATTCTGAACATCCATAATCAGTTTTGCATATCTGAATTTGCTACATTTTGTCACTCCTTGTCTTCATACTGAGGGCAGACAGATGAACACTGAGGGAAGATAAAGAAGAGAGTGAGTTAATTTCTTCTGTGTCCTTCACTTAAAGGCATCCAGGGGAAGCAGGACTTAGGACTACACCTTTCCTCTTTGTTCTGGGAATACTGTCTCTCTACGTGCTGACAGCTCGATCTTTATCAATCACTATCTCTCTGTCTTTATACATCTTCAGACATTGAGATACTCACTATACTATGTTTAAAATTGACCCAAATTTATGTCAAGATTTTCATTACTTACTTATCTTTGTATTTTTCATTTGGGAATATTCAAGTTTTTTTTTTTTTTTTTTTTTTTTAGATCATTGCCAAATTTTGTTAACGGGATATATGAAAAAATAAAACCTCAGCTTGACACATAGTTAAACATTGACAATTAATTATTAGTGTTGTACAGAATTTAACATTGCCAAGCGCCCATACTCTGATAGGACAAAACCACCATTGCTTAAAAGAACTCTAAATTGGCCAGGCAGTGGTGGTGCACGACTTTAATTCTAGCACTCAGGAGGCAGAGCCAGGAGGATCTCTGTGAGTTCGAGGCCAGCCTGGTCTACAGAGCAAGATCCAGGACAGGGACCAAAACTACACAGAGAAACTTTGTCTCAAAGAACCAAAAAAGAATTATATATAATATAAATTATTATAAGTTCTTTATTAGTGTTTTTTTAGCCACATTTATTAGGATATTTAATTGTGTGCTAAAAGTTCTCCTAGGAAAATTTACAAATGCATACTGATAATTAAGTTAGAGATATTAGAAACACAGAATGATAATACTAAACTTACAAGACTTAAACATAGTTGTTTGCTGGTTTTCAGCAAGTTCACCACAAGTTTAAGTTGCAAATGTACTATATAGTTGATTATTTACATTATTATATTACATATTACATATTATTATAGTTGATACAGTTACATATGTTTTTAAGATATAAGTGTGGGGCATATTAATCAGTATTTGCCAATATCAATGAACTTCTTCATGTGAAATATTATAGCAAATAATAATAATAATAAACATACAGTGTGGTAATACTGGTCTAATGAGAAAGCAGAGACATCTGAGGAGATGACGGAGAGACACAGAGAGATAATAAGGAGCTGTGAAAGGGAGGTGGGGCCTGTAATTTTCTCCCTCGTTGATCTTTCCTGTTTCTATTTTCTTTTGTTCTCCATAGTGAATATATTTAAATTGCAGTTTTATATATACATATTTTAATATAAAATGTCAAGTATTAATCAAAGGGAAATTACAAAATGCCAAATTATATTGATATATTTTATAAAATCATTAAATATGTATTATTTAAATATTCTCAGCTATGGCTTATTTTATGTTGAATTAATATTTGTAGAATTGAAAAGGATATAAAATTATATAGTTAAATCCAATCTTAGGAATTGTATAAATGCATGTACAATATTTCATTTAATATTTTGGTGACAAGACAAACTCAGAGAAGAAGTAAATGTTAGAAAAACATATGCCAGAATAACTTACAATACATTAAGAATATCACAAATATGTTAGGTAATTATAAACTTATCAATAATTAGTAGAGGCTGATTGCTTAGGAAGTTTGATGCACTGGTTAAAGGAAGTTCTCTAGACCCTGGATTCCCTAAAAGAAATAAACCTGTGAAAGATACTAGGCAGAAAAGCAATCTTACATATGCATGCATCATTCTGGAACTGTGTGAAAACAGGAGTCAATAATTTTAAAGTTAATGGATCTATTTTAGTAGTTTAAAGATATGTACATTTAGTTAGACAGAAGCAAACTCAGATACAGATCAGCTGCTTGGATCAGTCTATGGATTTGGCATATGTTAATGAACCAGATTGGATAGCTGAACCAAGGATATTTGAAAGCAAGTTGTTAATGTTCATTTTCTTGCCTCCAGCATTATGAAATTTGAAACAAAATTTTATGTAATTAATGAGTAGATAAAGAACCTTATCATATTGCCTAGTCTTGTTTTGAACTTACATGTCTCAGATCACAAGGCATTTACTAATATTAATAGAGGAACACACTTGGGATTTTATATACATGTAATAGATACATATACAAATTCATTTACTGATGTCTGTGAACCCATTCAAAGACCAGAATGATACTATGTAATATTATTTTCAACTATATTCATTCACCAAGTACCAATTCATTGCTTTGGAGGCAGTAATATGCTGAATTTGACAACTGAACTGACATTATCTCTAATAAAAACATAGTTCAGTGTGTCACATTAACCTCCAAACTAAACAACTCTCTAGCTGTAGCCCTGGAGAAGGATACGTAATTCAAGCTATCAGATGCTTTGGGAGAAGCAATGAGTACTTATAGCTTAGAGTTGATGAAGTAGGGATGCTTTTCCTGCCATCATCATCCTTAAGTTACATTTGTTCAGTACTACAAGCAAATAAAGCAAATTCATATTATGTCCCCTCATGAGAATGAGTATATAGAGAAAATTAGGTAGTGCATATATTTTCTGACATTATAGAGTTTGAGAAAGTGTGTATATCCTCTTATCTTTTTTATTGACTTCATCTTAAGCCTGATATGTACAATCTAACTGGAGAAACAAGAAACAAACAACAGTATATAATGCTCTATAAAATTTTACATTCATCTGAGTGATGCTTACAGAAGATAGTATAAAGATTTTAACGTAAAGTACAAAAAATCTTTTTATTTTTAATGATTTGATTTTTTACTTAAAATGTTTTCATTTTACATATCAGCTCCTTTTCCCCCTGCCTTCCTTTCTCCTTCTCCCTCCCACATCCCTCACATCCCACCTCCATCTCTTTCTCATAGCGGTAAGGCCCCCCCTTAGGTAGTCAACACCAGCTGGCATACCAAGTTGGGCCTGATTAGGCCCCTCCTCCTTGTATCACGGCTGAGTAAGTATTGCATCTTTGGTAATGGGATTTAAATATCCAGGTCTTGTACCTGGGATGAGTCCTGGTCTCGTTGTCAGGGTACCTACAAACACATCAAGTCACATAACTGTCACCCACAGTCAGAGGGCCCGAAAAAATGAAGATATTCTTAAAATAATCGTAAGATAATGAAGTGTAATGCTGGTGAGTGGAATCCGGTGCAGTGAGGATAGTTGTTTGCCATGCAAAAATCTTTTCAATTATACAACATACTTGTTTATTTACTGTACATGTAAACATCTGTTTGGAGTAAAAACTCATATCCTTATTTTATCTTATAGTTATTTATGAATTCATGGTATTCATATATTTTATACAATAAAATTAGAAAATTCAAATAGTTCAACAGAAAAACACATTTCAAAGGAATAATGAATCTCAACCCTAAAGATATTCATTAGCATAAAAGATGATTATTATATCAAACTTTATTCCAAAGGCTTTTCTGGAGGTACTATGAATGATGGATAAAAATATTTCTTATATTTAATATATACTATATTAATATTTAATATTACATATTTAATTAGGTTGCATTCTCAAATATCTTTCTTAAGAAAGATTTCAAGTGATTTTTCTTTTGTCTCTTGTTCTCCATTCTCACCTTTATTAAGCAAATGTGAAACCAAATTTTAATTACTTTGACTTCCCTGTAAATGCAGCTACTGAGAATCTGATCATTGCAACAGCTGACCGTAGTGGCATTGTTTAAGCAATACTCCAGAAGTTTCCCAAGGTCACTTTATATGATTTTCACCAAAAGTAAACTATTCCATCTCAGAAACATTTCAATGTTTAATATCTACATCTTTCAGGCAAGAAACAATTTAGCAGCCTTGAAGCCTATTTTACTTCATTAAAAGTAAACTTTTTAAATGTTATGTATTTTCAGATATTATCACAAAAATATCACCATGGTTGACAGAACTCTGTTAAGTTTAATGGATAGGTAGATTAGATAAATAGATTAGATAGATAGATAGATAGATAGATAGATAGATAGATAGATAGATAGATAGATATACAGATGATATGATAGACACGAACTCACACACAGATACATACAGATAGACAGTTACAGTTTAGTATAGTTGGGAGCAAATATTAATAATGAAGCATTGATTATATGGTCCTTAGCTAGGATATAAGGTTATATCACTATTGCTGAGAGAACTTTTAAGAATACTGGGTGGAGATTATGTAAAGTGCCAAGGGCTTATGTAGTACTCTAGTTTGCTTTCTTGATATGGAGATTAAGGGAATAAGCAACACAGAGGAAAATGTTTGACCAGCTTATGTTTGCTGGTAACAATCTACCATTGAGGAAAGCATGAAGTAAGAAGAGTGAAGCATGAAGTAAGAAGGCTGCTTCCTGGCTCGAGCTCAGCAAGCTTTCTTGTATAGCTGCTGGCCCGGTGATAGTACTATCCACAGTGGGTTGGCCATCTCACATCAAATGTCAGTCAAAATAATCTCTCAGGGCAGTGGCAACAGATAAATCTTGATGCAGGTACACACATTGGGAACTTTACCTTTCTCTGGCAAAATCTGTGTCAAACTCTGGTTGTAACCCAAATATCTTCTCCATTCTCACTTTTATATAGCAAATGTAAAATCAAATTTTAATTCTTTTAAATGCAGCTACTCTTTCAGGCTTAGATATTTATAATGAAAATTTCTTGTTTGACCCCAGCCTTAGGGGATCTCCCATACCTAACACAAGAAGGTTATGCGTTAAGATATTTTTCCTTCATGTTCTGTCTTTAATGGACTTGCTTTCCATGATCCATTTTGTTTTAATTTGCTTTTTCAAGTACCAGCATTTTACTATCAACAGTATCAACATTGGATGGCAAAAAATGCTAGCTCTTAAATGTCAGGTCTTGTAAAACTTGCTTGGAGAAGATCTGGTTCAATAAAACTCTGTCAGTGTTTAATAAGTCCTACATGACAGTAATAAAAATTCAAAGGACAGTTTTCTTTCTTCTTTTTTTTTCCCTCTACTGTAATGTCAACACTTCTGGGAAGGAAGCAAACCATATTATCCCACTATTAATGATTATTTAAGTGGAACCTTTGTTTTTCCTGGCATAATATCATCATTTGTAAAATTACTGTTCCTCTAATTTTGTAAGAAGTGCAAAACAAATACTCCAATGTTTAATTAATCATCAAGGTTTGCAGTTATCCAACTTTGCAATGCTAGAGTTCTATTTTGCCTGTGGACTACAGGAGGCTTGCCAGGTAAGTGTTTAGCACCCAAAGAGCTGTTTGCTAACAGTGATCAATGCCTGTCAGTGGATGCTTGCAAAGGGAGGGACAGAGACTGATGCACGTGGAGATAATAAGTAGGCTTGTCAAAACATCTGTCTTGTAGAAAGAGCTTTTCAATGAGAAAAGTGTTTACTGTGATCTCAATGCCTCTCACTGTCTAATTCTACTATCTATTTCTACTCATGTATTTTTTCCCTTTGTAGGAAAAGTGCAAAAATTAGTTCTTCAAATAGATATGCCAAATAAGGAGTGTGATACATCTTATAGTCATAAACAAAATAATACCCCTGAATACTGTCATATTAACTAGTAGTAATGTAATAATTTGAAAATTATTGTAGACAAGAGGCATTTTATAACAGAGATGAAAACAGCAACATTAAAATTTCTATAATTTTCTTCTCTCGATACTTTCTCCATATCTGATTACTTTGACTACAAAATTTTTAATTTTATATGAAAGTTTTATTGTCTCTTAATATACAATAAATCAATTATAAGAAAATTAATATAAACCTGCTTTTACATTTCTTAAAATTTCTGGTTTTATTGAGTGTCCTTTATTCTTTTAAATATTTATACATTTCATCTTAATTTCATCTGCCTATATTCCTTCCAAATCTCTCTCCTGGCTCTGTCCCACAAAATTTCCTTCCTTTTACATGGAAGAAAAAAATGTATTTATTTTTTGATATCTGCTTTATTTCATTAAATATGATAACATATGCTTTCATCCATTACCCTACAAATGATATAATTTCATTTATTTCCATTGAATAAAATTATGTATATAATGTATATATGTGGTGTGTGTGTGT